AATCCAGTTTTAAATCTGTGCTCTTACAACCACCATTTGAATGCCAATACAACGCATTGGAAACTACAGTTGTGTCACCGACAGACTAAAGATCTCAACTTCCAACTAACCAAGGCAACATATTGGTTTAGCAGCAGAAAGAAATTGCAGTTTGATGCATGCTGTTTCTCAAGCTCAAACCCAATGGCAGGATTCCTGTTTTCCTCCTTTCCTCTTTGCACTAGTGATCTACCTATCTCAGGAATGGAACACCTCAATATATAAATCAAGAAGAGTATAAACCATTAAGGGATCCAACTACTTGTCAAAGAGCATATTTTAAAAGACAACTTGCATCAAGCAAGCAATAAATGAAAGAAGAGAAAACCAAAATAAAACATAATTATTTAAAAGAAAACACCATAAATGGTGTTTAGGGGGTACTCATGAGTCTCACTTAACTGAAACAGCCCAAAAATGGTAAAGTTACCAGCAAATCAAACTTTTAAATATGGAAAATCATTTGCCCCCATGTTACCCCCTTCTTTTCCAGGCCAATGAACCAAAACCCAGTTCCAAGTATGCAACCAAAAAATCAGAATAGATCAAAAAACTCCAATCAAAAAGATCAATACCCAGATCAGAATCCAAGCTCAACAGCTCAAATCAATCAACAAAAACAAAACTCATCAAAGCTTACCAGGATTGAATTTTTTTTGTTCTCAGGTCATCCAGTTTCAGCTGACTAAATAACGGTAACAGCCAGACCAAACCCAGTTTACAATTGCATAGGAATATTCAATTCAGTCCCCTTTTCTAAGCCCCCACTAAAATAATTGAATCATTTCAGACAAGAAAGAAAGAAAGAAAGGTAGGATGGGGTAATCGTGGAGGAAAGACCGTGAAAGTTGGCTCCGCAAATTGCGTGCCTTAAAACCTTAACCAGAGTCAAAGATTTTTGGATTTGGGATCCCCCCTCTATTCACATACTGACATCTAACTCTACACCTTTGCACTTAGATAAAACTAAACTAAACTAAACTACACATGTTGGTGGCTTATGAGTTATTGAATGCCTCTCCTTTTCTTTAAAAAATAAACAAGAAAATCTTTTTTTATTCTTATAATGAAATATGAAATAAATAGATTGTCCAATGCTTTAAAACAAGACAAAACACGCCATGTTTCACCATTAATAATGCATTTAAGAATGATATTTAATTCAGGATAGAGTTGTTCATTCAAATTTCGAGATCATTCAATGTTAAAAGATTGAAAGAATTTTAACCCTTTGAATCAATTTTTAGCTAATGCAAAACCCATTTTATTTTTTGAATTTCAACGAATTATAACCCTTTTTCATAAAAAAATCATTAACTTTTTACATTTATACATTTATGAATGCTAGTAAAAAACCCATTATAAAACTTTGAATCTAGAATCATTCTTTGGGTTCAAATTGTTACATGCTGACAAAACAAATGATCAATTTTAGCAATGTTCAAATGATAAGATAACATAGCATACTCGTGGGCATTCGTTAGTCAATAATTTGAACAAATCTAAATGGCGTAGGAGTCGTCATTTTCAACATAAAAAAGTATAGAAAAGGTGATTTGATTTGCCTGAGCTTCGAGATTTTCAACCTGAGGGTGACATTTCCAGCACGCAACGTTTTAAAATTTCCTATTTGATTTGATTTTACAGTCAATCAGACCGTTTGTTCTTAAAGATAGGCGAGGGTTTAGAGTAAGATGAGGCAAGGCACATGGCATTTTTAGGTACCTTGCTCAATTGGGTTTGTTATACAAAGGAAATCCAATGAAGATCATACAAGTCAAGCAGAAGATATTGACTATCCTGTTGTTCATGGAGATAGAGAAGGTTCAGAGTAAGGTACATGGTAGTTTAACTACCTTGTTCAGGTCGACTGGATCAGACCTGGCATGGCCCAAGTCGATGGGTCATCTTCAGGCTGGAGCCCTTCAAGTTGAACATTGGCGTAGTCCTTTTGTATGGTTGAGGTAACCCTTCCAAGTGGCTAGGAGAAGGATAACAGAGAAACTAAAATTTATCTAAGTACAAAAAATGCTGCTCCATATATTCATGTAATTAAATTTTTATTTTTTTATTGTACTCAAGTGAGTTTTCATATTTTGATTTGTATTTACATAAGTTTTTAATCATAATATAAAATTAATAATCGTCAAACTTAATATCATTTATTATTTTCTGTTCATATAACAAGAGTTATATAATTGTATTATCAAGACATGTTATATATTAAGTACATAAAAAAATAAAAAATATTATCTCTAATTAGCTAAATATATACTTATTATTGAATTGAAGATTGAAATACTCTCAAAATTAATTAGTCCCCTGCATAAAGAGAAGTTATCCATAGACTTTTGGGAGCATCTTTATCTTAGGATTCAAGTAGGTTTCCTTTAGCAGTGGCTTAAAATTGTTAAGTACCTTAGGTGACCCCTACTTTGCAATGTTTGAACACCTTTGGCCTCAAAACTTTTCCTCCATGAAAGGCCTATCAAGAACATTTCAGGTAGAGGAAATTTTTGAGTGATCAAAAGGGAATTTGAGAGATTTCTCTTCAGAGGCCTAGATTGTTTGTTATGATAATTATTAGCTTCCCAACAAGCTTAAGAGCAAATTAGATCAGGTATAATCTTCGTATCTACGTTTCAATTATAATATTGATTTCATATTTTTAGATGTGAATATAAAGTTTAAATTTAAATTACTTAAATTTTGATATTATAGTTAGACTTTATATCTACGATACCTTCATATCTAATATTTTCATAAATTCCAAAATTTACGAAATTTCATCATGAATCATGGAAGTGGGATTTCCATTTGTGTCAAATTTAAATCCAACTCTACCTAATCTAGAAACAATGATCTCACACTATCTAGCTTTTTTCATAAAAAATAAAAGAGAAGAATGGAAAAACTCCTACCCCTTGAACCAAATTTCTATTAATGGGTTATCAAATAACCTCTGCAACTTTTTCCCAGTGTGATACCCACTTCAGCCATTCAAACTAGTTAAAACTTGGAATAGTTTGGCATACTCTGTGAGAAAAATAGTATTGAAAACATGCCAAAGCCTTGAAAATTAGGTTTAAATGTGGCAAGGAAGTTCAAGATAGCTAAAAGAAATGACTTCCCTTAACAATATGATAAGATGAGTTCTGAATGCTATAATTGTTACAGTCAAAACTGTTGTGAAATTCCTAGAAAAATAATTTCATAGTAATTAAGTAAATAAAAAAAAATTATGTGATTCCATAAAGTCTGTGAAATAGTTTTTTATTATCAAGAAATTGAAATATGATAAAATTTTTACTTATAATTTTCCAAACTAGTCTTATAAGAAGATAAGAATATGCACTTAATCTATTCTACTTCCACTTCATATTGTACTTCCTTTATGGCAGCAAAAAGTTGAGACTTTAAGACATAAAGGCTAGTAGTATTTCTTTAATGATTTACCTTGACCCTAGAAATTGAAAGTCTAGGGAATAATTCATTATGATTTCCAGGACAAGCTTATCATTTAGAAAACCAAAAAAAAAAAAAATCAAGGGGTTGAGATAGGGAGAGAAAGAGAGTGATGGGATTTAGGTAGAAATCAAAATCATAAAGAGGGTGCTTTAATTGTTAGCTCAAAAAAGGTATATTAATTATGAAAATGCTTAGATCATAAGATAAATGACAATTGAAATCACAGCAATTGTTTTTGCACATACGTTTTCATTAACTCTTGTTAAATTTGGTATCAATCAAATCGATTTTTGAGATGATTTTATTTTGTTTTTCCTTTGTATTTATTTAATATTTTTGTGATTGATCATCGTCATGATGATTTTAATCATGTTCTAGTTTTGGGTATTAATAAATTATTAGCTCAAGACTCCAAAAGGTAACATCCCCAAGCAAGTATACCGATTGGGAATCCTGTTGGAATTCCAATATGACATAGCATAAACAAAATTAATTAAGCCACATTAGGATAAAGCTTTACATTATTGCCTAATACATAATCATATAGTAGTTGCATGGGAGAGGAAAAATGATGACTTGTTCTCCTTTTTACCTTCCCAACAAAAAACGTACACGTCATGGAGCCAACTCAGCCTAACAAACAAGCTTTATCTTTAATAGCATTCACATTATTTTCCCCATCCTATCACGCAGTAGGTGGCCACTTTTGCTTTCCTTGGTGTCATTTTCCTTTTATAATCATGCATCTGATCCCTTAGCCGTCCAAGCATGGTAAAATTCCACTTTGAGCCACGTTTTCGTTGAGGTAAGCTGACACAAACTCTATCCACAATATTAAATTTTTAGGGTCGATAGACCTAGCCAAGCCAGCATCAATCAGGACCATTTCATTCAACGACAATGGTCCAAGTAACAGAGTCGATGGTGACATCAAGGAACAGTGTCGACAAGTAAATAGATTAAGGTATTCTATTCCTTTTGATCTTCAAATGTCTTTTTTGCAACATAGTTATGGTAACTCTTGCTACAACACTTATTCTGCAGTAATATTGTGGCTTATAATCAACTTCATGAAGCTTTTACTATAAAGAATCAATCAGAATGATAACTGCAGAACATATAACTTATGTCATTAAGGGTATAGACATTGAAAACTTCTTCATGTTTTGATCATGTTTTACGGTACTGGTCAGCTTTGGCTATCTTTTTATAGACTTAGCTAGCTCTAATCAGACAAAAGGGTATGTAGATTTGAGAAATGATAAAGGTCAAGTAAAAACAAGCACGTGAAAATGGTTACTAGCAATATATTTTTCTTCCAAGAAACCCGCAGCCATTTCCATGTCTTATTCTACTTAGGCTTTTCTCCTAATCCTATTGCGTGTGGTCAATATAAAACTTCCTGGCTTCGGCTACAAGTCAAACAGGCGGTTTCATGTGCCAAGTCTTCTCCAATCTGGCAAACATCTTCCCCCTCTATATAAGCAGCTTCCTCAGGCTTTGCTTCTTCATATTTTCCTGTAATCCCCGTCTTCCCAACTTTGCAAAAGCTTGCCTACAAAATACTTGGTAACCCTCTGATCATCCGAATCGTTGTTAATTTGTTGAAGAAAAATGGAAGTAGAGATGTCCCTGGCAGATTGCTTGATGAAGGTGCTCATGTTCCTGATTGTTCAAGGACTGGTTTATCTCATCCTTTCTAATTCATCTGATATTTTCTCCAAGAACAAGATGAGATCGTTCAGCTTCAAACGTGCTCGTTCTTTAAGCATTCGCCGGATCCTGGCTTCCATCTCTGACTTTCCCCAAGGTGTCGAGCCATCACCATCATCGACGAGTTTGAGGTCACCAGCTCAGGAATATCCCACAACTGAAGAATATGAAAGTTACTGATTCTCATGTTATGGTACTTGGATCAAATTTATTAGCTATCTGTGCTTGTGTGTGAAACCATTTTTTTATTCTTTGGGTACCGTCGAATGAAAGAAATTTGCTATTCGTTTGTCTGATTGTAAAGAATTAATGCATCAGGTACTTAGTTCCATTGCGTATGATTTCTGTAATCATATACACCGTAAATACCTTTTCCGTGTATATATTGTCTAAGAAGCTGATCCCATGTACATTTATAAGAATTTATGATACTCCGAGTCTTCATTTTCTTTGAAATATGATGTCCGATGTATGTCCAATATACATGAATATAAAGATTTGACCTTTTAAATATATAAAAATACTCAAAAATATTTGGATGTATTCATGTTAAGCACATACCTGTACCCAACAATCACTTTGAGTTCGAGTAACATAGCTATAGCGAAGAACTATCAGATACCTTGTCTGCAGCAGCTAGCAGGAGCACTTTGGTAGGACTACAGCAGCAACAGAATGAACCAATGCAAAGCTGTTAAAGTAAACGATAAATAATGGTTCTCAAAGAAATATGGAAAGACTGGTCATGACAATTACCCAGAAGAACAAAGATAAAACTAAAAAACATAAAAATTTATAAGAACTTACGAATTTTTGTACATTTATAAGAACTTTCATTTCTTTTTTTTTTTTGTTTTTTTTTTGAAATATCATATGTTCAACATGTATTCAATGGATATGATATAAAGATCCGACCTCCAAATATATAGAGAGCTAAAAAAAATTTGAACAAATTCATGTTGGACATATATCCGTATCTAACACTCATCCTGAGTTCGAGTAACATAGACAAGAAGTGCCAGATACCATGTCTGCAGCAGCAGTAGCATATTGGAAGGACTACAGAAGCAGCAGGATGAACCAGTGCAAGCTGTTTAAATAAATGATAAATAATGGTTCTCAAAGAAAGATAGAAAGACTTGTGACAGCTTAGCAGTTTATTTTAACACACGTAAATGCAGATCTTATTGTATGCTAAGTTGATTTCAGTTTTGTTCTTGTATCAAATTTAGCTCAAGTCTAATTTCTCTACACTCTGGGCAAACAACAAGCAGGTTATCTCTTATCTGCCAACGAAAACTGCACCTCCATAGACATTCCAACCTACCCTGTTCTTTGCTGCCTCAACTGATAAAGGACTTCTTGAGGGAGTATTGGATGGGAATAGGCTGGAAACATAACTTTGTATCTGAGTTCACCAAGAACTGGTTTAATAAACAGGCCCAAAGCTAAACATTGCCTTGAGCCAAATGCTTCTTGCTCCTCATCCTAAATTTACAAATTCTTGTCACAAACATTCATTAGCATGTCAATTTCCTGTTAAGCATCACAGATGTAATAGGCTGAATTTTTATTTTTCAAGAAATGTGCCTGCTGATCAAAAATACAAAATACTTTGAAGGCTACTAAGAAAATGCAGAAAATACAAGGACAGGCTAAGTTAGTGAAATGTAACTCTTCTGGCCGCTTAAGACCCAAGCAGAACATAAGTCACAGCAAACTACAATGACAAAGAACATAAACTATGAACTTCTATTGTCTATCAATGTTCTGCCTTATCCTCAGACAATCAAATTCTTTTACCCATCAGTGTTCTCCACTATTCTCTTGGTTCTCATCATCATCATCCTCATCATCCTCATCCTCATCATCCTCATCCTCATCATCATCCTCATCCTTGTCAAGGTCATCAAATATATTGCCTCGAGGGAGTTTGCTGAGCTCCAAGTTCCCATCCTCTTCACTAAGGAACTCCAGCCCATCTTTGGTGTCACGATGCTTAACTAAAAGCCAGCGCAACAGCCTGTCTTCCTTGTTCAAGTAGTGCAACTCCTTGTTAATATTGGGTGTCGCCATCATTGTCATCTGCATGAGCTGACCCTGTACCGTACACAACAGGAACAGCAGTTTGTTCAATTGATCATTTCATTTATAAATTTCTGGTCCAGAATGACCAATCCATCTGTGATGCTCAAAATATGAAGATGGACTTCAACAAAACAAGTCTATATATCATGATATGTAGAACAGAGCACAACCATATCAAGCATTTTAGTACCCCATCCCTTTCAGTCTATCTAACAGTCTTTCAACATGTTCCATTTTTCATTGCAACTATATCTGTTGGAGTTGCACCCTTCATTTGTTTCTAAATTGCAACTGTGTTTCAACAATGCACAATCTGCTTATGCTCATAGGCTGGTTACAGACCAGCAAAGCAAGATACACTTCAAAAGGAAAAAGGCAAAAGATCAAACAATAAATACACAATTTTTAGCTTGGTTAAAGCTTCATTCTTTAAAAGCATAAGTCTATACTCTTTTTATTTAAAAAGCCAAAAGGAAAGGTGAGAGTTCAGATTTTGTAACCTGATAGTATCTTCCATCAAGCTTCCTAATGCCATACCCCAGCTGAACAGTCCCAAACGATTTCATCTCAGTGAGAACCCCATTTCTGCTACAAACATGTTTTCCTATTCGTCTTATCAAGTCCATCGAAAGCTCCTTTTGCACATGGGGCTTAAAGAGAAGCATACAATCATACAGAGGCATTTCTTTCTCTGTCAAATTAAAAAAACCAAAACCAACCCAATAAACCATTTTCCTCCTAGATACCAATAACACAAACAGAAACGCAAAATAAGATATCGAATCTGAATCATTGAATGATTAGACTATGGTCTTTTTACCTTCGAAAGCAATCAAGGACACTCGTGACAGAGAGGGAACCGGACCCAAGCTCGTGACAAAGAGAGAGGAAAACGACCGTGATGTAGCAGTGATGGACGGCTGTGATCAGCGAAGAAGAAGAGGAAGAAGGTGGACGGCGTGACTGATGAGTGCTCCGCCGCTTGGAGGAGAAGAAAACGTCGGGAAGGTGAGGTTGTTGGGTTTTTCGTAGGAATAACAATTAAATAAATAAATTTTTTATTACATTATTACCTTATTACCCTCGTAAAATTAGGAAATCACCATTGGCATTGAGTTCAAGGATCACCAACTCAAGAACATGAAACTTACTAGTAATTCTCATGTTAAAATGCTTAGATCAAATATGTTGGCTACTTTGTGATTGAGCAAAATAAATTTTTTTTTAATCTTTTGAGCATTATCCTCTTCAAGAAATTTGTTATTCATTGTTCTTAGCAATGGAAATGAGTATTCTTTAATCGGTATTCGACTTGATTATGTAAGAGAAAGATATTTTATATTCGGTTTTGGAATGAATTTGGGTATTAAGATTAATATCGATTTCGGATTTAATTAGGGTAGAGCTATCATCCTTTGGATACTTAATGCCCAAATCTAATTATGGATGTTTATTTATTTGTTTTACGTTACTTAAAGTTGTTGTTTGATATATTTTTTATAATAATTTTTTATTTAAAATTTAATTTTAATATTATTTATTTTTATAAATTTGATTATTAATGAATTGTATGAATGTGAATTATGAAATATAATTATTATGGATTTAATTGCAAGTAATTAAGTATGCATGAAGAAGTTAATAAAATTTTTCTATACAATTAGATAATTAAACAAGTTTAGGTAAGTAACAAGTCTTGCATAGGAGCACCCGAACATTTAACTCATTGGTTAGTGCATTATCCCTCTGTCTAAAGAGTAGGATTCGAATCTCCGCTCCTCCAATTATAAAAAAAAAACAGTCTTGCATAGGATATTTAGGTACAAGTTTGAATAAAAATTTTCAAAAAGAACTAGATAGTTGTAGAGTTCAAATACATAGGACAAGCTGACAAATTAACGATGTTAGAATTTGGGTTAACACTATTTCAATTTATACATTTCACTATAGTTCAAGAACAAAATGTATTATTAATTAATTAAACATGGAAAAGGTATCAAATACCAAGCCTGTAGCAGCAGGGGCACCTTGGAAGGACCATAGCACCCTCTTTGACCACCCATGGATGCTCAGCAACAATGTCCAAGGTTATTCGCAACTTGGGGTCTGCATATTAGAAACAAAATTCAACCAATGAAACTTACTATGTTTGGACCTTGTAAGGAAAAAAAAAAGCATATAGAAACACGAATGACCTTTGTAGAAAAGGCCTTGGAGCAAATCTTTGAGCATTGGATCTAGTTCCTTTGGGAGTAATAAAGAGCTGTTTACAATCTGCAACAATGATGAAGTTAGAAATGTTATAAAAGTAGAGCAAGGTAATATAAGCAGGAAAGTGGTGGGAAAAGATTTTTACATTATTGTAAGTCTCAGGTAAACTATCAGCAAGAAAGGGGTAGTAGCCTACAACCATGTAGTACAGGGTAACACCTATAGCCCATATATCTGCTGCTTTTCCATGATAAACTGTACCTGTTACCAATTGCAACAAAGATTTCAATAGTGTAATGAAGTTCACCCTTGAAAATTTATCCCAAATTTATCTTTTAAAAAAAAATCTTTTGGTTGTCCTTGGTGAAGTTTCTTGCATAGAGTCTCTCTTGAATGAGTTTCTGTGAACAATTTTGAACCATATTAATGTGCATTAAACATACCAAAGTAGCACTCAGGTGGAGTAAAAGCTAGAGTTCCAGGGGATCTCCAGAGTTCATCATTGTCATCCTGCAAGATGACAACTTATTAGCAAAATGAAACTCTTTTCTAGATACAAACAAAAACATTTCCATGCCTGATACAGCTTATCACAGCATAAACATATGCTGGTTAAACAGAGTTGTTGACTTGTCAACATTCCTTTTCTATTTATAACATGCATGTATAAGATTTTCTAAGGATTATATTATAGCTTTCAATTCTGAATCATTTTCAGTAGTGAACGACCATATTGGTTGTAGTCTAAGGGCATGCTTAATATCTTCTAATCTCAAAAATAAGCATCTAATTTACCTCAAAAGCCTGGCTCACACTGAAATCACCAATTTTCACCCTCTCACTTTTAGTGAGTAGAAGATTTTCGGGCTTGATATCACCATGAATGATATTCTGTTACAATAAGCAAGGTAAAAGTTTTTAGCGGAAGTCACATATGTAGGAGCAATATAAAACATTAAAGTTTAAGAAAAGATAATTAATACATTAATTTTTTATTATAACTTAACTTTTGACTGAACTTGAACATAAAATAGTCCTTGAGCTGAAAGTTCTAATGACAAGAATTTAAGATAAATAATCGGGTTGTCATATCTGGTAAAACTGCATTTGTGAGACTATCACAGCCCATACTTTTAAAACTCTAATGACTTTGAAAGGGCTTTGAACATGAGATAATGAAGAGTTTGTGACACACACCATTATCTATAGCATGATATCCAGTTTATAGTTTCACTAGATATAATAGTACGAAACCGGAACAAATTATTGATACATGCTAATTATAAACAAGCTAAGCAAATATAAGTTGGAATGTATCTCTTTAATTGTTGCTAGTGTTTATTTTAGTAGCTAGCAGATACTACATGCTAGTGCATAAGACTCATTTAAGTTTACTCTTATTTTTATGTTGTTGTCAATTATTATTGGTTATTTTACTTGGCACATGTTAGTCTACTACTTAGAATTACGGACCAGTTATCTATTGAGTTTACTTAGTGGGTAGTTGTCAATTTCTAATTTCATGTCTTATGGTTTTTTTTTTTATTTCTTGTACTTAAGCTTTAAGTAGCAAACTAATATGAATGAGGAAGTTGTTTTGTTTTTTCTTCACTTTGCTGTTCTTAAGAAGTCTCTTTATTGTCCTTCATTTTCCTTCACTTTATTTTTTGAAAGTTCATCATGGTATTAGAGCTTCTAAGATCTTAAGGGACTTAGGGTGCTAAAAATAATGGAATATTTTTCATAAAAAGATCTCAACCTTTCATTCTTCTTTCACAAAAAAAAAGAAAAGAATCGTCTGTCATGGCTTCATCCAAGTTTAATGTCACAACATTTCCTATTTTTTCATGAGAAAATTATAATATATGGGTTGTGAAGATGAAAGCCTATATTAGGGCTTTTGATTTATAGGAAATTGGGGAGATGGGAGGTGATCTTCCAGTGATGAGACATGTTAATCCCACTATTGTTCAAATTAAACAGCATAGTGAAGATGTAGCAAAGAGATATAAGGCACTTTCTTGCATCCAATCTGTTATGTCGGATACCATTTTTACAAGAATTATGACATGTGATAGCCTAAAAAAAGCATAGAATTGACTCAAGGATGAGTTCCATGGAAGTGAGAGGACGAGGTAAATGCAATCTCTCAATCTGCATAAGGAGTTTGAGATTCTGAGGATGAAACAATCAAGGAATGTTCAGACAAGATTATGAAGCTTGTCAATCAATTAAGACTACTTGGAGAGGACTTAACTGAACAGAGAATTGTTAACAAGGTTTTTGTAAGTTTTTCAGAGAAATTTAAAGCTAAAATATCATCTTTGGAAAACTCAAAGGACTGCTTTCAACTCACTGTTACAGAATTGGTGAATGCGTTACAAGCTTAAGAGCAAAGAAGGGCTATAAGACATAAGGATAATGTGGAAGGAGCATTGTTGGTTAAGAATAAAAGCAAGAATCCAGGTAGTAGCAGTAGAAGAAATAAAGGTGAAAATAAAGATAAAGAGACAAGAATGAATGATGGTAAACAAAAGAAAAATAGAGGTAAGTTTCTTCTTTGTAGTCATTATAAAAAGATAGGCCATGCTAATCCTTTTTGTCGGTATAGACCACATGTGAGATGCAAGTTTTGTAATCAGTTGGGTCACATAGAAAAAGTTTGCAAAGCCAAAGGAACTTGAGGAGAAGAAAAGGCAGTTGTAGTAGAAGAAAAATAGGCTATAGAGGAAACATTGTTTATGATCAAAAACACTAATTTAAGAGATAGAAAAATAGAGTGGTTGATAGATAGTGGTTGTTCTAACCACATAACAAGCAATGAAGAAAATTTCTTGAAACTAAATAGAGACTTTAAGACTCAAATGAAAATTGGTGATGGCAAGTATTTGAAAATACAAGGGAAAGGAACTGTGGCAGTTCAAACACCAACCGATATCAAAACTATTTCTTATATATTTTATTCTTCACAAGTTAGCGATAACCTCTTGAGTGTTGGTCAGCTCTTGGAAGATAATTATTCCTTATGGTTTAAAGATAAATCTTGCATAATTGTTGATTGCTTGGGTAAGAAGGTGATTATTATTGGAATGAGGAATAAATGTTTTCCTCTTGACTTCATGAAGAATAGACATCAAGCTTATCAATGTATTTTTAGTGATACTGCACTATGGCACAGATGTTTTGGACATGTTCATTATAATTCCTTGAAATTGATGGCCTCATCGTAGATTGTAAAAAGGCTTCCAAGCATTGAGCACACTAAACATGTTTGTGGAATATGTCAAATGGGAAAGCAATGCAGGACTGCATTCCCAAAGCAAAGCTTGTCAAGAGTTAATAAGAAATTGGAGCTTGTTCACTCAGACGTTGGGGAACTAATGAAAATTGAATCACTAAATGGAAGCTTGAACTATCTAATCTTCATTGATGATTTACCAAGTATAGTTAGGTATTTTTTCTCAAACATAAGTCAAAAGTTTATGCCAAGTTTCTGATTTTTAAAGCTATTGTGGAAAAAGAATCTAGTCTAGCTATTAAGATGTTGAGAACTGACAATGGTACTGAGTATCTATCTAATGAGTTTAAGAATTTATTAGCTCAGAATGGTATAAAGCATCAGTTACCAATACCCTATTATCCCCAACAAAATGGGGTTAGTGATAGAAAGAATCCAACCATAATTGAGATGGATCGATGTCTTCTTTTTGAGAAAGGATTACCAAAAAGCTTTTGGGTAGAAGGTATCAATGCTGCCATGAATTTGCTAAATATTTTGTCAACTCGAAGCTTTAATTCAAAGACTCCTGATGAAGCTTGGTTTGGATACAAGCCTTCGATCTCTCACATAAGAGTGTTCGGCTGTATAGTCTATACCCAAATTCTTGATGAAAAGAGATCGAAGCTAGATGCTAAGTCATAAGTTGTAATTAATCTTGGCTTCAGTGAAATCTCCAAAGGATATTGACTATATGATATTAAGACCAAGAAGGAGTCAGTAGGGATGTTGCATTTGATGAATTCAATATGTGGAATTGGGGGACAAACTCGGTTGAAAGCTCAAAAGACTTGAGTATTTTCAATGATGGTCTAACTTAATTGGAGAATCAACTTGAAGATGAAAATATTGATGATTATCCAGTGAGAGGCACAAGATCTTTGCAAGATGACTATGAGCGTTGTTATGTTATTATCTTGGAGCCAACAAGTTATACAGAGGTAGCTAAATATCAACACTGGATTAAAGCTATGTGTGATGAGATTGAGATGATTAACAAAAACCAAACTTGGCATCCTATAGACAGATCAGCAAACTAGAAAGTGATAGGAGTTAAGTGGCTCTTCAAAACTAAACTTAATGCAGATAGAACAATTAACAAATACAAGGCATGTCTAGTAACTAAAGGGTATGCTCAAGATTATGCGGTAGACTTCTCTGAGACGTTTGCACTAGTGGCTAAACACGATACCATTCAACTTCTAACAGCTTTGGCAGTCAAAGAAAGTTGGAAGATCTGACACTTAAATGTGAAATCTACATTCTTGAATGGCTTCATAACCGAAGGTGTTTACATTGAGCAACTTGAAGGTTTTGAAGAGAAAGGAAGTGAGAACAAAGTTTACAAGATTATTAAAGCACTATATGGTCATAAGCAGGCACCGAGGGCTTGCTATGAATGAATGGACAGTTACTTAAGGAGTAAAGGATTTAATCGAAATATAAACGAGACAACTTTGTATGTGTTAAGCTTAAATGGCTTGGTAAATTTGTTGGTCTTATTGTACGTTGATGACTTATTGATCACAGGTCTAGATAGTTATGTTCTGGATGATTTTAAAATGAAGATGAAGCAGGAGTTTGAAATGATAGATCTTGGTGAGATGCCTTTCTTTCTGGGTATGGAATTTGTTCACAAGCCAAATTATGTATCCATCAAACCAAGTATGCAAGAGGGTTGCTGCAACGATTCAACATGGAAGCTTGTAAGTTAATAGACATTCAATCAGCCTTAAACAATAAGTTTTGCAAGAATGATGGTAGTGGAGATGCTAATGGTGTAGTTTACAGAAGTTTAGTTGGATGTTTATTGTATCTGACAGCTTCTCGACTTGATATAATGTATGCTACTAGTGTTCTTTCAAGGTATATGCAAGAGCCATCAGAATTTCACATTATTGCAACCAATAGGATGTTATGGTATGTGAAAGGGACAATGACTTTTGGTCTCAAATTCAGTAAAAAATTCAGCAATGATCTGTTAGGGTATTGCGACAGTGACTGGGTTGGAAGTCTCGAGGATTCTCGAAGCACCACAGGTTTTTGTTTTCCTTTCGGTAGCATTGTATTTACTTGGAATTGCAAGAAACAAGATGTAATTGCATAGTCCACTGCATAGGTTGAGTATATTGCTACTTCTACTATTATTAATCATGCCTTGTGGTTGAGAAAAATGCTTAAAGATATTGTATTCAAGTAAAGAGAAGAAACAACTCTTTGGATTGACAATCAATCTACAATTGATATTGCCAACAATCCAGTGCATCATGGGAGAACAAAACACATAAGAGTGAAATATCATGTTATTCGAGATGTCATCAAAGAAAAAGAAATTGCTGTGTATCATTGCACTTCTTCTGAACAGCTAGCAGATATTTTGACCAAGAGTTTGAGTAAGGAAAGATTTGTTTATCTCAAGACTATGCTTGGTGTGTGTGAGATACATTCCAAGGAGGTGTGTTGAAGTTGGAATGCATTTCTTTAATTGTTGCTAGTGTTTATCTGAGCAACTAGCAGATACTACATGCTGATGCATAAGACTCATTTAAGTTTAGTCTTATTTTTATGTTGCAGTCATTTATTGTTGGTTATTCTACTTGGCACATGTTAGTCTACAGCTTAGAATTATGGATCAGTTATCTATTGAGTTTACTTAGTAGGTAGTTGTCAGTTTTTAATTTAATGTTTTATGGTTTTTTTTTAATTTCTTGTACTTAATCTTTAAGTAGCAAACTGTTATGAATGAGGAAGTTGTTTTGTTTTTTCTTCACTTTGCTGTTTTTAAGCATTCTCTTTACTCTCCTTCATTTTCCTTCACTTTATTTTTTGAAAGTTCATCAAATATAACAGATTCTATGAGAACTATTATGTCCATTAGCATGATTTACAATCCATCAAGAAATGCATGCTTACCTATCTCCAAGTTGTTTAAAAGTGAAAAAGAAAAAAATTTAACAGTAAGAACCTCAATGTTGAGTCAGTTTTTCATAGACCATAGTTTAAAGCAATATGCAGAAACAATCCTTAAGTCCAAATTGTTTCATTGTGATTATGTCATAAAACTTGTAGTTTTCTATGATAATCACTAAATAGGAAGCTGTATTTGTTAATTTCTTGGGTTACTTGTAACATTCACCACTTCAAGTATCATCTTTTCCCAAGCACAAAGCATAGCATCACAGATTGCCTTGAACATCTAACTGTTTATCCAGTTTCATAAGTCACCACTGGCACTAAACTTTAGTACTTTTTTCACTGTCAGTATGGAAGATGTCTTAAAACTATATTGCTTGGTAGTTGGTTCCCCTAGAAGAAACTTACATGACTATGCAAATAAGTGAGGCCTGCAATTATATCTTTGAAGTACCTCCTTGCAGTTGTCTCATCAAGGTGTCCTTGTATTTCAGAAAGGTTTTTTATATCATTACCTTCCACATACTCAAGAACTGCAAAATTATAAAGATGCATATATATCAAGAGTAAAGAACAACTAACTAGAATCCAAAAAAAAAACTCCACCATGCATATTTTTTGTTCTGGATAAAACTTCTTCTGTAAAAGCTAGAAGTGCAAAGGGATGTTGATACCCATAAAGAGATAATCAGATTTGGGGTCATCTATTACTTCAACAAGGTTGACTATGTTTGGATGATCCAACATCTTCATTATTGAAACCTGTAAAAGGATTTAGTTTCATCACTGGCAAGTTCAAAATGAAGCAAATATTGGAATTTCAAGGGTTATCACAACTTTAAGATAGAAAAGTGTAATAGGACGTTCAGAACAAAGATTAAGCCTGTAAAGCAAAGAAAATCAGGCACAAACTTGTTTGTTGCATGTAAAATTGCACCTTACCTCTCTAAAAACATTGGTCATAGCGGTTTCTGACTGTGTCACACGCACCCTGCGCAATCTAGACTTGCAGATTTTCTGCAATAAACAACAAAGTATATCAGCATTGTCTGGAACTGAAAAGATAATTACATAATCACTAAGGCAATCTATTTTTGACATCAACATGTTCAAGCAATGGGGAAAAGAAACCACATTAAGCCTTGAAAGGCTGGTAAAATAAAACACAAACTCTTTTCCATCATCTAAAGCAACTGATCCCCACACCATATTTTAGAGCCATGGTTGTGGAACCTGGCTATATCATTAAGACCAGAAGT